CAGCTGCTGCTGCTGCTGTCTGCAGCAGCAGCAGCAGCAGCAGCAGCAGGAAGAGTAACAGAATAAATCTCTCCTCTTGTATTACCAATATATACTTCTTTGCTGTTTTTATTAAAACAAAAAGCTGTCCCTATAAATAAATAAATAAATAAATAAATAAATAAATAAATAAATAAAATATATAAATAAATAAATAAATAGGTAAATAAATAAATAAATTATTTATTTATTTATTTATTTATCTTAATTCTTAAAAGTGTTATAATCATAAAATATTTAATTATTATAAACCCTTAACCCTAAACCCTAAACCCTAAACCCTAAACCCTAAACCCCCCCAAACCTTCTAATCCCTCTAAACCCTTTAAACCCTAAACCCTAAACCCTAAACCCTAATAATATCTTACATTTATTAGGACCATTATTATTATTATTATTATTATTATCTTCTTTTTCCTTTTTATTTTTATTATTATTATTAATTAATTCATGAATAAAAAAAGAATATTCTTTTTTTTTATTAAAATTTTTTAATAAAAATTTTTGTTCGTATAAAACACCAAAACATAAACCACAAGGAGACCAACTTATATCTACAACATCTGCAAAAAAAAAAATAAACCCTAAACCCTAAACCCTAAACCCTAAACCCTAAACCCTAATTTAGGGTTTAGGGTTTATATATAAGAAAGATATGAAATAATTTTAAAGGGTTTAATTAATTGTAATATATTGGTAGACAGATGTTTGTATTTCTTCTAAGGGTTTATTTAGGGTTTATTTAGGGTTTAGAATTATGAATTAGGGTTTAGGGTTTAGGGTTTAGGGTTTAGGGTTTACCTTGTTCAAGAGTAAATGAAGAAACAGAAGAAAAAGTGTTTAGATTAATAAGAAAAAGGGTTTGATTATTAGATAGAAGAAGAGCAATTTTATTAGTAGGGTGTATAGATAAATTAAAAGGGTTTAGCCTAATTAGGGTTTGGTATTGATTAGGGTTTTGGGGTGTATAGGGAGGTTTTTTTTTAGGGTTTAGGGTTTTAAAATATAATGTCCTTATTTCCTCTAAACCCTTTTTTTTATATAACTTTATAAACCCTAATTTATTTATTATAATAAAATAATTATATAAACACTCTCTTATGCATGCAGCATAACCACCAGAAGCCAGTAACCCTAAACCCTCAAAACGTAAACCCTCCATATCGTAAACCCTAACAAATATTTACACACAAACCCTAAACCCTAAACCCTAAACCCTAAACCCTAAACCCTTTGAAATAATTAACAATTCAATTCGCTAAACCCTAAACCCTTAATCGTTAAACAACAGATATTATACAATACAAAATATAAACCCTAAACCCTAAACCCTAAACCCTAAACCCTAAAGTGCTAAACAATAATCATACATAGCAAACCCTAAACCCTAAACCCTAAACCCTAAACCCTAAACCCTAATTACCTCATAGCCTCATCTGTTCCTCCTGATACAAGAGATGAGCCAACAAAAGATAAAGCAGATACAGAACCCTGCAACACATAAACCCTAAACCCTAAACCCTAAACCCTAGGTAGAAGGTAACATAGTGCATGATGGATGCCTAAGATTATTGAGAGCAGAAGAACACTGCAGCAGCAGCAGCAGCAGCACGAGCAGCAGCGACAAAAGCAGCAGCAGCAGCAGCAGCAAACCTTAAATCCTCACATGATGAGCTGACATAGCAAAGAGTCTTTTAGCCCCTTCCTCTTGCTGCTGCTGCTGTTGCTGCTGCTGCTGCTGTTGCTGCTGCTGCAGCAGAGAAGGAGTTATTTTATAAGCAGCAACTCCTCCTTCATATGTACCCATAGCAATATAAAAATAATTTTCTTTTTTACCTTTTGCTGCTGGTGCTGCTGCTGGTGCTGCTGCTGCTGCTGCTGGGGGGGGCCCTGTGGGGCCCCCCTTGTTCTTCTTTTTTAATGGATTCATGAGTTAGGGTATATATACCCTCTATATACTGCAGCAGCAGCAGCAGCAACAGCTGCAGCAGCAGCAGCAGCAGCAGCTGCTGCTGCTGCGGAAGGAAACGGGTTAAGAGAGCAGCAGCAAGCTGCAGCAGCAGGTGATGATAGCAGCAGCAGCTGCAGCAGCAGCAGCAAGAAAAAAGGAAGAAGAAAAGGAAATATTTATTTATTTATTTATAAATAAAAATAAATTAAATAAAAATATAATTAATTTATTTAATTTAAATAAATAAATACAACAAATGGATCTATTTGCTGCTGCTGCTGCTGCTGCTGCTGTTGCTGCTGCTGCTGCTGCGGGGTGTTATATACGCTATACCCCCTACCTCCTTCTTATATATTTTTTCTTTTATTTATTTATTTATTTATTTTATTTAATTAAATATTATATTTATTTATTTATTTTTATTTATTTCTTTTATTTATTCATTTATAGGGCCCCAAGAAGGCTCTCCTTATGCATGCATGCATGCATGCATGCGCGGAGGGGGCCCCCCGGGGGGCCCCCCTTTCGACTGTGCCCAATGGTTTGCTGCTGCTAGTTGTTATTGTTGCTGTTGCTGCTAGTTGCTGCTGCTGCTGCTTCTAGTTGCTGCCGTTGCTGCTTCTGCTAGTTGCTGCTAGTTGCTGCTAGTTGCTGCTGATAGTTGTTATTGCTGCTACTATTTGCTGCTGTTGTTGCTGCTGCTAGTTGCTGCTGCTGCAGCTGCTGCTGCAGCTGCTGCTGCAGCTGCTGCTGCAGTTAGAAGTAACAATATAACTATCAGCTAGCTAGCTAGCTAGCTATGTAGCTAGCTAGCTAGCTAGATGCTTGCATAGGGCCTGTAACACTATTAGATGCAGTAGGTAGCTAGCTGCTGCTTGCTGCTGCTGCTTGCTGCTGCTGCCTGCTGCTGCTTGCTGCTGCTTGCTGCTGCACACCTCACGACAGCAACAACCTCTACGATTGTCTTCGTCTTTTACTAAATATAATAAATAAATAAATAAATAAATAAATAAATAAATAAATAAATAAATAAATAAATAAATAAATAAATAAACTAATAAATAACATAAATAAATAAATAAAATAAATTAAAAAGACATATAAAATTAAAATATTTATTTTTCTCTTTCTATGGGTAAAAAAGATATGCATGCAATCTGCAGCAGCAGCAGCAGCAGCAGCAGCAGCAGCAGCAGCAGCAGCAGCTGCAGCAGTTATTGCTGCTCTACTTGCTGCTGCAGCACTTGTTGTTGCTGCAGCATTTATTGCTGCTGCTGCTGTTGCTGCTGCTGTTGCTGCCTGCAAACTTTCTTTCCTCCACCCCCCCACCGAAACAACACCTGTTAGCCAAACCCTAAACCCTAAACCCTAAACCCTAAACCCTAAGGGTTTAGGGTTTAGG